GGGGGGGAGCGGGGAGGGGCAGCAGAGGAAGTCCAGGTTAGAGAGCGGAGCCCCGGAGGCGCTGGACAGCTGTGAGGCCATTGGCTTTCATTCTAATTCACTGCAAGTTCCCCGGCTGCTTTGTGGGGAATCAATTCTGGGGGGCAAGTTACTCAGTGGAAAGACTGATACAGAAGCCCCTTCCAGCCATGCTGGCAGGAAACGACGGTGGCGGGAAAGGTGGAAGGAGTGTGAGGTCCGGACCTGACTGTTGAAGGGGAGCCACTTTCCCAAAGACAGGATGTGGGTGGGGGGGGGGGACCAGGTAGGCTCTCACCTGGGCAGCTGGAAGGAGGGCTGGGGCCTGGCTGTGGGTGGACCAGGAATCCCCTAGAAACGCCATGAGCCGTCCTGCAGGGCGTCCATCAGCATCTAGAGGGGAGGAGAGGAAAGAAGGGCTGAGGTCAGGGGCCGAGAGGGGACAGCCAAGGCGACTGAGTGTCCAGGGGGGCGGACGCCACGGGGGAGGGTCTGGGGAAGGCAGTGGTCGAGCGCACTGAATGCTGTCGGGACCTTCCCTAAGAGGAAGCCTAGGAACGGATCGTCACAGAAATTGCTTTTAAATTTTAAATTATTTAACATACATAAAGGGGCCTCCTTCAAACACAGCCAGACCCCAGAACCATCCGCCTGCAAAACCTAACCAGTAGTCCACGTGTAGAAACCAGTTCAAAGGCCCAGTAACAACATCCAAAGAGGGAAAGACAGTACTTTCACTCCATGATCTTCTTAAAAGTGACGTCCGGCCAGAGAAGTGCAGTAACCAGCAACGCTCCTCCTATGCCTTCGAAACAAAGTCTTAGGGAAGAAGGTGAGCGGACAAGATTCTGAGACTTTCCACCAACAAACCTACATTTGAAAAGAAACAACCAATGGGCAATTTAGGGAAAATATATAGGAAGGGCCTCTGGGGTCAAAGTTCTGCCCGTCCCCGGGCCCTGAGCCAAGGAGCCCGGGGAAGGGCAGAGAGAGGCGGCTGTCCAGGGCGACTGCCCCACTCGTCTCGGGCGGGAATCGCAGCAGGAAGGTGGGCAGGGGCAGCGGGCCCAGCAGGGGAGGCCGGCACACATGCAAACCCCCGGAAGGGAGGCCCGGTCCTAGCAGAGGCTGAGGGTACACGCAGGAGAAGAGGCCCTGCTGAGAACTTGCTCGAACTAGGATAGGCTGTGACTCTAGGCTCTTAACAAAATACACAAAACCAGGATCAGATTTCAGCTCCAATAACCACCTTTGCCCCCAGGTACACCTTCCAGCAGCCGCAGAGCAGGGAGGGTACAGAACCCAA